TGCCGGTAATTAAAGCTTTTAATGAGGAGGCATACGGTAACACCCTCCCCAGCCCCAGGCTGAAGTTTTGCCAGGTTTGGGTTTATTAGTGGCTGCTAATTATACCGTCAGGCAGCATATATGCCAAGGAGGGCTGCACCACCTGGCCCCGAGTGCTTGAATTGGCCGTGAAAGCTGCCACAAAAATTCTTAATTTATCTTATTTCCCCTTGCACTGGGAATGGAATGCCCAGGTGTCTGCAGGACATTCTGGGGACACCACCACCCCCTGGACACAGAGCCGGCTCCTTCCCCACTGCACCCGACCCCCTCCTCCGTGCGTGGGGGCTGCAAAGCCGGCTGCACGTCCTCCCCGCAGCCAGCGAGGGCTTTCTATTCCTTGAGGTGAGTTCTGCTGAAAATCTGACAGTCCTGGTAGCCGCAGTGGGGCTCGAAGCCCTTTCCCATCCCGACAGCGCACCCGGCTGCTGGGATGGCCTCAGCCCCGACAAGCCTCGGCGCTCCCGCGTGTCCCCGGACCCGAAGTGGGTGTTACCCCGGTAAGACAACCAGTGGCTTCATTCCCCTTCAGCCTCAGCTCTGCTGCCGGGGCATTTGGTGGACCAAGCGCACGACAGTAAGGCTGCTTTACTTCTACAAAAGGCTCTTGCTAACATTTTACACCTGCTGGTTATATTTTTTTACATTGGGTCTTGTAAAGTACCTCGCTCCCAGCCTGGGGCTCTTTGAATCTTCCAGCTCCATGCAATCATTTAGGGAAGACGAACGTTAAAATCAATTACGGGGAAGTTCTCCTCGTTCTTTAAAAGCTGATCCCAGGTCCAGCTCCTGCAGCACCCTGGCCCCTCCTGCCTCGTGCCTGGACCACTGTCACCGAGGGGACGCGTGCCAAGGCCATCACTGCTCTGACGTGCCAGGTCAGCCTCCGCGAGGGACCGGAGCCCATGGAGAGTGGGACAAGGATGGACAGAGAGGCCACTGCGGACGGGGTCAGGGGATGCTGAGCTGCTCACCAGCAGCTGGACCTTGAGGGGCCCCACAAACGCGCGAGCACTGTTGGGGCTGGGAAAGCTCCTGCGATGCCGTTGGAACCCGCAGCTGAAGGATGAGCTGCTGCAGCAGCAGGGGAAGCAGGAAAGAAAACCCCTTCGCCGGACGCCGTAACGCTGCGTGAGTGCCTGCGGTTGATCCCAGGGGATTGCCCGGGCCCGGGGAGCTGCCCTGGCAATGTCTGTTTAAAGATACCGCTTTTACCAAGCTGATTCCAGAGGAACTCTTCAGGAGTTGGAGAAGAAAGAACTGCAAAGTGTATTTTATGCTTTTAGTACTTTTTTTTTTAATTGCAGTAACTTCTAGATTATTCACAAGTTTAATGCCTCTCCAACACCTATGCTAGTAAAGTAGAAATTCGTACTGGTATTTCATGATAGGTCTGTGCGGGAGATTCAAAGCCTGCGGCGGGCAGTGGAGGGATGCACGCAGACCACGGGGCGTTTTGAATCAAGTACAGACGGAACAAGCTTAATTAACTGTCAGTCCTCACAACATCTGTACAGGAAAATCTGACTGAACATGAATAAAGTGAAGTCTACTGGTTAGTAGAAAAAGGACACTGGACAACAAAAATAAACCCAACCAAACAAGAAGTATCTATAAAGCAACAGAAGCTGAAGTAGGACAAAGCGATCGAGCTGCTCGTTTCCTCCAGTGGCCTCTGTGTCCGCAGAGCAGCGCGCGCGCGCCGTGCCTGAAGAAAGCACCGGCTGCCTCTTTGCAAACACCTGTGAAGCGGTGACCCTGGAATCTCAGAAACTGGGTTGAAATGCAGTGTTGATGCAAACAGATCTATTTCTCAGCTGCGCCTCGACAGCAGCGTCGCCGTCTCACCCCTCTCCAGGGATCTCCTGGCCACTGGCTTCTCAAACACCCCAGACAGAGCCTTGACATGACGCTGCCTCTGCGACGCCATTCCTTCGGGGAACCGGCACAAAGTCCTGACATCCTCACTGACAAAACCAGCGACTCCGAGCTGGTGTCAGGCTCCTCGACGTTCTCACAGGTTGTGCTCAGTTACCGGTCAGGAGGGCAGTAAGGCACCTTCACAGCCAGGTCATCCAACCCAAAATCTGTCCCCAGGCACCAGTTTCAGAGTTACATTTTACAGGCTTTTTCCTCTCCCTGCTTCCCAAGAGAGGTGCTAAACAGGTCCCAACTGACAGTTCAACAGCTTTTCGTCTAGATCCCAACAGGATTGGAGGAGTAAGGGATTAGGGGAGACGCTTCTGGAAAGATAAGCCCCTATCATTTAAAGCAAGCTGTCTGAATGATTTTTGTTGCCTTTTCTGCATTTCTATTACAATAGCTGATCGTGCTGCTTTATTTTTTTCCTTTTCTCTTCAACATCTCTCAGCACGTCTTGCAGTTTCTTCGAGTTCTGTGTCAGGAACGCAAAGCTTTCTTTGAAGTTGCCGGTCCCGTGCTCTCTGCAGATATTCTCCAGCCCGTCAAACCACTGCAGAATCTTCTCCAGCTCGGCCCGAACAGCCTCCTGTTCTTCCAGCTCCGCGTGCAGGGCCTGCCCGGCGGACGCCTCCGCCCTGTACTGCTGCTGCAGCTGACGGATCTCGTCCTGCAGCGCCTGGAACTGCTCCTCAGTGCAGGGGTACTGCTCGTGGGCCTTGTCCTCGGGCAGCAGCACGTGCCGAGGGACGTTCAGCACCAGCTGCAGCAGCACTTCCTCCATTTTACTGAAGAGCTGATCGAAGTGCTCCTTCATGAAGAGCAGGAACTTCTCCGTGCTCTTGCGGACTTGGGAGGGGCTGACCTTGCAGCCGGGAAATGCGTCCAGCTTCTTGAGGATCACGCTCTCCACCACCAGCATCATCTCGAAGAGGTAGTCCTGGAACGCGATGTAGACGCGCAGCATGCACGTCTGGGGCGTGAAGCCGAAGAACTGCGCTTCGTAGGCCATGGGGTCGACCGACATGGCGGCGGCCCTCCGGCTGAGGGCCGGCAGGGAGCGGAGCGGGAGGGGCGCAGGCCCC